GTGGAGCACTTTCTTACATGCCTTTCAGCCTTTTTGATTTCCTCTATTGAGAATTCTTTCTTCAATTCTGTACCCCACTTTTTAATAGGGTTATTTGGTGTTTTGTTGACTAGTTTCTTGAGTTCTTTGTATATTTTGGAGATCAGACCTTTGTCAGATGTAGGATTGGTGAAAATCTTTTCCCAGTCTGTGGGCTGCTGTTTGGTCTTGTCTACTATGTCCTTTGCCTTACAGAAGCTTCTAAGTTTGAGGAGGACCTATTTATTAATTGTTGATCTCAGTGACTGTGCTCCTGGAGTTATGTTCAGGAAGCATCTCCTATACCAATTTGTTCAAGGATACCTCCTACTTTCTCTTCTAAGATGTTCAGTGTGGCTGGATTGATGTTGAGGTCTTTGATCCATTTGGACTTGAGTTTTGTGCAGGTGATAGACATGGGTCTATCTGCAGTCTTCTACACACCGTCGTCCAATTGTGCCAGCACCATTTATTGAAGATGCTTTCCTCCCCCCCCCCCACTGTATACTTTTAGCTGTTTTGTCAAAAAATCAGGTGTTCAGAGGTGTGTGGGTTAATATCACGATTTTCAATTTGATTGCATTGGTCTACCTGTCTATTTTTATGCCAATACCAGGCTTATTTCAGAACTATAGCTCTGTAGTAGAGCTTAAAGTCAGGAATGGTGATGCCTCCTGAAGTTTTTTTATTGTACAGGGTTGTTTTTGCTATCTTGGGGCTTTTGTTTTTCCATATAAAGTTGATTATTATCCTTTCAAGGTCAGTGAAGTATTGTGCTGGGACTTTAATGGAGATTGCATTGAATCTGTAGATTACTTTTGGCAATATTACCATTTTTACTATAATTATCCTACCTATCCAAGAGCATGGGCAATCTTTCCATTTTCTGGTATCTTCTTTAATTTCTTTCTTTAAAGCCACAAAGTTCTTTTTATATAGGTCTTTCAGTTGATTGGTAAGTGTTACCCCAAGTTACTTTATGTTGCATGTCGCTATTGTAAAGGGTGATGTTTCTCTGATTTCTTTCTCAGCCTCTTTGTCATCTGAATAAAGTAGGGATACTGATTTTTTGAGCAAACTAGATACTGCTAGTTTGCTGAAGATGTTTATCAGCTTTAGGAGTTCACTGGTAGAGTTTATGTATGTAAACTGTCATATCACCTGCAAATAGAGACAGTTTGACTTCTTCCTTTTCAATGTGGATCCTCCCTTGATCTCCTTTTGTTGTCTTATAGCTTTAGCTAGAACTTCAAGTACAATATTGAAGAGATATGGAGAGGACAGCCTTGTCTTGTTCCTGATTTTAGAGGAATTGCCTTAAGCTTCTCTCCATTCAGCTTGATGTTAACTGTTGGCTTACTGTATATTGCTTCTATTATGCTTAAGTATGTTCCTGTTATCCCTGATCTCTCCAAGACGTTCATCATGAAAGGGTGTTGAATTTTGTCAAAGGTTTTTTTTCAGCATCTAGGGAGATGATCATGTGGTTTTTCTTTTGTTTATATGGTGGATCATGTTGATGGATTTTTGTATGTTAAACCATCCCTGCATTCCAGGGATGAAGCCTGCTTTGTCATGGTGGATGATTTCTCTGATGTATTCTTGGATTCGGTTTGCCAGTATTTTATTGAGTATTTTTGCATCATGTTTTTTATCCATACTGCTGATTTTCCATCTATCTTCTGCTTCTTTGTTGCATGCTTCCCTCTGGAGACCTTACAATGAACTTCTATGCTTGTTTGTTTCCTTTTTTGAGGTGATGGATCATTTTAGCCACTAATCTTTTGAAATCTTCATCTGTAACTTTCTCTTCTGTTGTCTTTGGGTTCCATTATTGAGGGCTGGGAATATTTTTATTAGGCAGCCTAAATCTTTCAATTTTTCAGTCCCCAGATTCATTTAGGCAGAACATTGTATTGTCATAGCAAAAGCATAAAACTATAAAAAAAATAGAGAAATACACTAAAGGTCAATCAAATAACACTCATATACCACCAACTGCTACAAAATAGAAAATTATTATAAAATTATAAATCTATTTGGCATAAACTTAAAACTATTTTAAGGTAAAAGTAGAAGTGATAAATGAATTAGGTAAAATAAGGAGCCAGGGAAAGCAGAAGAAGTTAAAGTTAAGTAAAACAAGGGAAAGAATGACACTTCTGCTTCTCCTTCTACCACAGGGGAGTCATCCACTGGTCCTGTTTGATTGTTTTATTGTTTTTTGATTCCCCACCTTACTTTCTCTATTTTTTCTCAGCTGCTCTACCTTTTCGAATTGCCAAAGCTTTTCTCACTGGAATAGAATGGTTTTATTTATTTATTTATTTATTGTTTGTTTTTTCCCCTTATCATGACTCTGGGCCGCAATAAGGCAATTTGCAGTCTATCATCTCACCCAGCAGTCTACAAGATTCTTAACTCTTTGTTTTTTTCAGTTTATATCCATAAACTTCATCCTCTGAAAAATTTACACATGAATACAGTGCATCCTGGTTACTGTTCCACTACTATCTTTTATTTCCCTTCTACTTCTGTCCCCTTTTCCTTAAAAATCTATTTTATGTTTATTACTTGTCTTTCTTCCACAGATTTTAACTAGGGTCACCTATGTGATCCTGAGTTTGGAACTAACCACCAGAGTCTAGTGGGCTCAAAGTGGGTACTAAATCTCCTCCACTCTCAGATTCAGTTACTTCCCCGTAGGTCAGTAGAAAGTAGAAGGACCTTATGAGTCTCTGTGTGAATCAGGCTTCAAATGTGATATTAATTTCTTTGTCTGAATGTTCACCAAAGAGCAAATGGAGAGTAATGATTGCATAACTATGGAAAAGAGGGGCTACACAGATAGCAAAGCAAGATGATAAATGGTCCAAACCATGCAGAAAGAAATGTGTTAGTAATGCCTCCACATAAAGAACAAAACCCTGCAGGGTTTTTCTTGAACATGGAGGAAATACAGAATAGATAGTAGAGGAAAGGAGGTCTGGACAGCAGTGAAGACCATGTGATAAGTTACAGAAAAGAGAGTTGTAATTGAGTGTTTCTTTCTTGCTTTTTCAAGTGCAGTGTGTTTTAAGTTCAGTGCTGGACAGTTATATCACATTAGGAAGAATCCCAACCTTGTTTGCCTACATTTATTTTGACATTAAATATCATAGGAAGAGGCTAAGTGACTGATTGTGTCAGGCTTACAATGTAGACCAGAATAAGGTGTCAAATCCCCCTTGAAACTGAGTTACAGATTGTTGTGAGCAGATAGCCGTATGGTTGCTGAGTTTGTCAACCACATCCTCTGCTAAAGCTTTTAAGTGCTACCAACCACTGAGCCATGTCTCCAGAATGTAGAATTAGAATTTAAGCTCTTAAACACAGCTTTTTGTTGTATTTTTAGCATTTTGCTTTAATTATACTTTTATATGGTGATAGGGTGGATTGTGATGAATATGTCAGAAACAACAGGCAGGCTTCCATTCATCCTTTCCTTTATTTCCCTGATGATATAACACAACACAGAGCCACAGTATACTATCACACCCAGAATGGTAACAACTGCACCAGTCAAAACACAGAACTGTTTAACCATCCATCAACACTAGTGTTGTTCTTTAAGGCCATAGCAGCTTCTCTCATTTCCTAGGCCTATACTCCAAAAGAGCTTTAGACCAGTCATCATTTATGCATTTTCATCACATGGATTTTGTGTATGATAGCTGAAAATATTATCTAGACTATAATCATCCAGAAAATGATGGTGTAGATTCCAATGAGATGATTTCTGGGCAAGCCTGCAGAACTTGATTCTGGATCCCACCTAACATTAGAAGGATCGAACTGAATACTCAAGGTTGTCCTGTGACTTCCCCACATGCACTGTGACAGACACTGCCCAGAGACACAAATCACACAGATACAAGCACTCATACCCAACAATAATGATAACAATGATGATGATAACAATAAAAATAGTAATAAATTTAAAATATAAATAAAAGCAACAACAATGTTTTGGTAGACCGAATACATAAATTTTCAAGTTGTAAAGTATAGCAGCACAACAATAAAGCATTGTGTACCTCAAACTTGTTATAAGATTTGAATGCACTCATATTAAAGATTGTTTACATTGCAATTTGATGTACAGGCTCATTACCCGGAATTGGCAATGTGCATGAATTAAAATATAATAGAGAAGTCAATATATGTGTTCAAATATCGAAAGAAAAATTAATGCAATATTTAAAACTCTAACCCACAGTTTAAAGCACACTAGTACCAAAAATATGTTAAGGTGGTACTGTGCAGAGAACAGCAAGCACAAAAAACAAAATTCAGCCTTTAGATTTTTCTGCAACTACAGTGAATACTGCATAAGGTCCCAAGCCTGGTTTTCCCCTTGAGGGTTATAATTGCTTATATGTTATCAAAACAAAACAAAAATTAATATATTTCTTTATTTTGTATATAACTGTATATAATATGTGTCACATGGGAGGAAATGGTTTTGAAGTATTGTTGACCAGTTAGATAAGTGACAATATCCATATACTCTCAGTCTTGTGTTTGGAATAACTTTGGGAAATGAGGACTACCATAGTTGAGAAAGCATGTTGAATAAAAGAGAGAACAAAAATCTTAGTAATGTGGTTTGTATATATTATGTAGGTAACAGGAATGAGAGTAGTGGAGACTCCAGAAAATATTTGTTTATACTTAGAAGATCTATTTTACTTTTATTTATGCATGTGTGTATGGGGTATGGTGACTATTAGTGTAGGTATCTAGAAAAATCAAAAGTGGGTGATGCATCCCTTGTGGTTGGTGTTACAGGCAACCATGAACTTCCAAAGGGCAACAAGTGCTCTTCACTTTTGAATAATCTCTCCAGACTCCGCAAAATATTTAGATGTACGTTTTCCATTCATGATCTGAAGACAGAGCCCCAATCTCTGTAGTTTCACCCCTGCAATCCAGAGACTTCGTCAGCTCAGGGCAACTGGGCAATTTAGTTTTCCTTCTAGGAGTCTTTCCAGGGCTTTCTTCACATCTTTATTCCTTAGACTATAAATGAAGGGGTTCAGCATGGGTGTGACCACAGTGTCATCACTGAGGCTCTTGCAGCAAAGAGTGAGCTTTGGGTCACAGCAGAACTGAGGTACACTCCTAGGCCTGTGCTATAAAATAAAGAGACAATGGAGAGGTGAGATGCACAGGTGGAAAATGCCTTGTACTTCCCCTGAGCTGAGGAGATTGAACGGATGGAGGAGACTATCTTGAAGTAAGAGTAAAGTATTGCACTGAGGGAAGTGGCTGCCAATAGAACAGGTGCAAGATGCATCATGAGGTGGCTTAGAAAGTTGTTTGAGCAGGTGAGTTGGGCCAGCTGATTAAGCTCACAGAAGAAATGTGGGATTTATACATCTGTGCAGAAGGACAGTTGTAGCACCATTAAGCTCTGTAGCAAGGCATGCAGGACACTGATGACCCAGGACAATAGAACCAGCAGCATACACAGCTGGGGGTTCATTATGACTGTGTAATGTAGAGGGTGACAGATAGCCACATATCGGTCATAGGCCATTACACCCAAGAGCAAGTTGTCCAGTTCTGCAAAAACCAAGAAGAAACACATCTGGGTGATGCAGTCTTCATAGGTGATGGCCTTGCTCTGTGTCTGGATGTTCACCAGCATCTTTGGGACTGTGGTGGAGGTGAAGCAGATGTCCACAAAGGACAGGTTAGAGAGGAAGAAGTACATGGGTGTGTGCAGGTGAGACTGTGAGATGATGGCCAGGATGATGAGCAGGTTCCCAAGCACTGTGACCAGATACATGGACAGGAACAGTGCAAAAGTGAGGAATTGAAGGTCTGGGCTTTCTGAAAATCCAAGAAGAAGAAATTTTGAAATTCTTCTTGTGCTGTTCTCTGATTCCATGAGTCATATGTTCTACGAGGCAAGATGTGGGCAACATGACTCTTATTCTCATATTAATGATATAGATGATATACTACACTTTACATTTTCAATGTATTAACTTTTGAATTGTGGCCATGGAAAGATCCTCTTAGGGAGTCCCTGATGCTTATTTTGAGAGACATTCCTTATACCATCTGAGCCTTTCCATTGAAGGACATGTATTCTACAATTTTAATAAGAAATTATTGTGAACACATAGTGTCTGCTGATTATGTTCAGGCAGTGTTCAGGAATTTTATTGAGGTTGGTAACAAAAAAACTTCATGTACATGAATCAAAAGAATAAAGGAAAACAAAGAAATCATATGCACTGCTTTTTGGAGTGAGGGTATGATGTGTATTTGCCTATGCACAGACTCACCAGATTTCACATTTTTAATAGATGTGACCATGTGTATATATAATAACAAATAAAACTGTTTTAAAGCAATTATAACATGACAAAGAGTAAAGATGCAATGAAGAAAATTAAAGCAGGTGCAAGTGAAAGGGAAGAAAGGAGCTGCCTTTCTATGTGTCTGTCTGCGTGCATGTGTGTGCCTGGGGGAAGGTTTATGTATTTTAGGGGAATAGCATTAGAACTTCCTGCATACTAAGGTGACATTATGACCAGATAAGTCTATGTAGTGGAATGTTCTGTTCCTCACAGAATGCTTAGCAGCAACCCAGACTCTAGTGGGGCCTCCCTGTATAATAGCTACATGTTTCCAGATACTGCTCAATATTCACCGGAAATAAAATTGCTTCATAATGTGAACCACAGTTTGACCTAATAGAAAAAAATGTTATGTCAGCACTGGTATAATTATAAATTCATGAAAAAGAATACAAAAATCCATCACAATTGGGTATGGGTAAGGGTAGGGAAACATAGGAAAGTGAAAGGAATGATAATTATGATGTCAGGCAGTGTTTCTATTGTGTTGCCACTGATTTTGGTTTTTAATTTATCCCTAATAACTTCTCATCTGCATGGGATAGAGTAATTCCACACGAGTACACAGCATGTAATGATCATGAAAGGAACTTAGTGTTGCCCTTTCTTTCAACATGAATCACCTCTTTGTGTTGAAAGGGTTCACATTCCTATAATGTAGTTTTCTGTTTAAAAGCTATGTAATGAAACATAAGCACAGAGTTTTTGAAATAATGTTTTGTTTCTTATGAAATAAAAGTTAGACGTGGAAGTACATATAAGGAAGTAGTTTGGAAAGAACGACACCCAAATTCCCAAATATTGTCTATAAATGTTTGTTTTCATTTAAATGGACTTGGTTAAAAAACACTCAGTCTATCAATTACCACATTGCATTATAATACATTTTAAAGAGGCACTTACTCCCTTTTGTAAAAGCCATGCATCCAATTCTAGCAAGCTGTTTTCCTCTTTGCAATTTGAAAAAAAATTACTTTGATAAAAATTAAATTGACTATGTATACAAAAACAAGCTAATAAAAGCCTAACACACACATGCACACACACATACACATACACACACACACACACACACACACACAATCTCACCAAGATTATGCTTTTTGTGGCAGTATATACAATATTACAGAATGATAGGAGATGCAAATATTCTTCCTGTATATGTATTTTATTTTAACTGTGTGTGTCTGTCTGTCTGTCTCTCTCTGTGTGTGTGTGAATGCAAATGCCAAAAAAAAAAAAACAAGTTGCAAACTGTGATCACCTTGGCATACTACAGATCATGAGGTTTTCTGCACCCATGGAGCATTATGTGATAGCTGCTTGAACCTCACTGTCTCCTCTCTCTTCTTTCCTAGATGCCAGGGATTGCATCTACATTATGTAACATTCAGTTTTAATTTTTGACTAGTGTGTTTCAATGGGAAACAAATATGTAAAATAACAATCATTTGCTGATATAACAAGGGTAAGCAACTTAAAGTCAAACTTCTGAAGACGTGTGAATAATCAAAAAACACTTCCAAATGTGTGGAAACATCTTTATCAAAACCTAATTATCTCATAGGGCTGTGCATTTTAGTATGCTCAAATCAAATACATGAACATTACTTAAAAGAGAAGGAAATGAGTGCCCTGTAAGTAATGGATGAAAGTGATGCTGCCATCCTTTGGAAGTGCATCTCGTTACAGAAATGCCAATGGCAAAATAAGGAATAACAAAGATGAACATTGCAATCATGTACAAAAAATGACCTGATGGCACGACAGGACATACAAATAAATGGCATTTTGCTGAATTATTTCTGAAGAACAAGAGGCAAGTTGAACACAAGTATGACTGATTAATAGATTCATGCACACAAAACAAACTTTCATGCATTACTACAAGCACATATCTGGGAATAAGAAAGGAATAAATGTCAAGCAGGCAGTTTGTGAAAAAACGAAAATGAGAGCATTCTAATGCACTGAAATCATGCATTAGACACTGGGAATATAAATGTTCCCACAATAGGAGAAAGAGAAGACCTCATGGGCATTTTCAGTAGAGAAAGGAAACAACCAACAACCGCATAGAAACATTTAATTTTTTTAGAGATTAGAATCTCTCTCTCTCTCTCTCTCTCTCTCTCTCTCTCTCTCTCTCTCTCTCTCTCTGTGTGTGTGTGTGTGTGTGTGTGTGTGTGTGTGTGTGTGTCCAGAATATGAGGGTGTAATTTTGAAAAGCATTTCCCAACAATTTTTCTTGAAAGATGAGACTTTTATGAATGCCTTTCTCTGAACTCTCTCATCATAAAAACAGTACAGTAAGTCTCATATAATACAAAAATTTCCCTTATTTCTCTGCATTCTCCTACTTTAACTGTGAAGCTTCTTGGGTACTTCTTACTTCTTACACTGGAGTAAACTTCTGCCTCTACCCCAGTTCCCACTTCCATTTGGGATTCTGTTTCTGTCATTTCTCATAAGCAGTAAAACTGGAATTAATTACTTTAATATTCATGCCTCAATATAACATCTTGAAGAAAAGTTAGTAAATGATATGGTAAGCACTTAGAGAAATCTCATTCCACTAACAGGGACTGGCTCTCCACTGACCTCAGAGGAACAAGCTTGTAGTCATCACAGAGCTGACACTCACCTGAACACTCTTTGAGGAAGCTTCTTGTATAGCAAGCAGCTCAGGCTTCTCCTTGAATGGTGGAGGCTGAGTCTGTGAACCAGACAACACAGCATGAAGAACTGAACACATGTATGAACTCAGAAGTGATGACCACACTCTGTCTACCTCTTCCCAAGACTGCACTCTGAGGATCACCAGAGGAAGAGGTTTAAGCTTTCTGCATCTACTCATTGGGCTCATTTTCCTCTTCTTACATCATAATCCTTTAACCACCTGATTGCCCTCTGGGGGCAGGCCAGAAAGAGAATTTCATTGTTCTGAATCACAGTAGACAAATGCCTTTTGATTATTTCTTCTACATGAACTAAACTACTCTCCAGAGGTCTGGCCTCCTAACATCTTTCCTTCCTTCAAGACTAACACAGATAGCCTCTCTTTAGTCAATCTCAGGAATCTTCAAGGATGGAAAAAAAACTGAAACTTCAGAAAACTGTCACCACATCTGATCTAAAAACTGTGTTTATGGTTGTTTTCCTACATAAACATAACTGCATTGTGTATATACAGTGTATTCAGGGGTCAGAAGAGGTGATTTCATCCTGTGGAACTGGAGTTAAAAATGGTTGTGAGCTACCATGTGTGTTCTGGGAACAAAACCTGGGTTATCTGCATGGCAGCAAATGCTGCAAACCCCTACTCCATCTCTCCAACTCCTCCTTTAACTTTTACTGAGCTTGTTCTTTGACAGTTTAGTACAAGTGCCACACACATTCTGATTTTCATAAATCAATCCTAACTCTCTCCTTTTATTATTCTTACTCTACCTCCTCCAAACAAGTTGCTTCCCTTCTTCTTGTATTGTTATTTTTTTTTTCAGAACCATTGAGATTGGGCCATGAGTTTGAATCTATCTATTGAAGGCAAGTTGGGTCCTCAGTGGTTTCAAAACTAAAGGGAATAACTGTCCATCAAAAGGAATCTATTAGTAGCCGATAGTTCGTATTAGAATAACAGGGCACCACCATTGTCTCAGATGTCATGGCATGAATGTAAGTTCATGTGACACCATGGAAAGAAGAGACACTTAAAAAATGAACTCAGCCTTCTGCAACTATAGGGAGGTCCAGCCTCAATGGACTGAAGTTCTTTCCCTTTGCCCAGAGCATTGTTTCAATATTTCTATTTTAGCCACTTGATTTCTATATGCTCAAAATAGTTTGAATGAAACTTCCAAAATTAAAATGCCAAGTGCAGATTCTCAGTTCATAAGGTACCATAGTTTTTTAAATTTTCTTTTTTATTTTATTTATTTATTTTTTATTTTATTTATTTATTTTATATAACCAAGTACGTTTAAATGAAAACAAACATTTATAGACAATATTTGGGAATTTGGGCATCGTTCTTCCCAAACTACTTCCTGCTGGTAAGGGGCACTGTCATGGGGGATTCGAAGATGAAGAAATTCTGGCTGTAGTCTGTAAGGCTGCTTGGTCCAGCTGTTCTGAATGTAGGATCACCTGGTACTCTGTTTCAGGCGGTCTGGCTTGATCAAACCACATTAGTCTGGAAGGAATCTACATCTTTTCATTTTCTGTGGAAACAAAAATAGAAATCTTTTTCCCAGGTAACTTGTCCTTGAACTTAAATTTTGGAGTCAAAGCATTTTTTTAATTTAATTTATTATTTTACATGTCGATCCCAGTTCCCTCTCCCTCCCTCCCTTCCTCCCTACTTCCCTCCTTCCCTCACTCCTTCCCTCCCTTTTATCCTCTTTGCCCTCTCACATGCACCCTAACCACCCTCCCCTCCCATCCCCCCACCCCAATTCAATATGTAGGGGAATGCCATCCAGTTGGGGTCATGTAGATCTGACAGGTCCTGTGAAGTAGGGAC